TATATATATATATATATGTCTGTAACACTTCCCTTTAAAAATAATCACTGTTGTCCAGGCGTTTGAACAGGAACAAAAGGACAAGGCACAAAATGGTTCCTATTTTTATTTTAAAAATCAAGCATGGTTGTGTTTTAAGGAGTGTGTCACTTCCATTAGTCATTAACTCTCTTACGACCAACTTGTCGGCGCTGACAGGATTCCGCTTGTGTAATTCCCATTACCGTAATTTCTGAACAATTCAACATATCAAAAAAATTCCAAAAGTGCAGAAAAGCTGAGACATTGCGCTTTCAGGGCATATAGTATATATTACGGTAGCCACCCGGGAAAGTTTGATATGAGCTTGACCAATCACAAGAAAGATTCTCCGTTGTGTCATATTTGACAACCAACCTACTCTGTATCGTAACTCCTGAACAGTTGATCGCATTCAAAAAGTACTAGAAAGTGTATAAAATAAGCTTTTCAACGATGTATCACATGTGCATGTTGCAGCAGATATTAGAGTAAATATTTTCATTACAGAATTTCACTGCGTAGCTTCGTGTTGTATCAGTGGAGTAGCGGTGCGAGAGAGAGAGAAAACGGCAGAGGATGAGTTGAAATTACGGATAAAATTGTGGAAATGTCTAAAAGAAAATCAACCAGACTGATAAAGGGTCCCAGAAGACTGAAGTCTGAAGGCAGTGAACATGAGAGACATACACCAGTGAACCAGGTTGTGTATAATATTTGTACAAGCTAACGTTAGTCATATGAAAGCTGCATAGCTATTGGCTAACTGTTAGCTCCATCTTGATTCCTGCATAATTTGTGCAATAACTTTATTATGCTGAAAATAAAATTGTGGTCTTCCAAAAATAATGTCCTAAGTAATATTTTTACCCAAAGTGATTTTGGCAAAAAGGAAAAAAATAAAAATCACCAACACTTTTTTTTCTGCCAAAAGATGAATTGTGAAAACAACAACAACAAATCAACCAAGTGAGGGATTGGTGACCTGTCCAGTGTGTCCGATGCCTCTTGCTCCTGACCACTGGAGAAGGGTACCAGGACCCTTTCAACCTGAAGTCTGATAGATAAAGTATGAATGGATCAAGAGTGAGATTCTGTCTGCAGCTGGAGAGGAACTGCTTTAGAGCCTACCACAAAAAATAAAAATGCCTGAAATAATTTCATAAAAAACAGGCATAAAAACTTATTAGTTGGAGGCCAGGCTTCACAGTTTTCTCTGCATTTATGTAATATAGTTGAAAGTTGAAATTGTTCATCTGAAATTGTTTGCCCGTCATCAGAAAGTTTTTGTTCAGTAATAAACCTGAAAATTTCAATTGTTTTTTGTTTTTTCTCTTTAAACTGTTTATTCACAATTTTTAATAGATAGAAATGTTAAATTATCAAATACTGCAAGCTGAGGTTGTTCTGGAAAAAAGAGCAAAAATTCAGACACTGCACATTTTTTGAGAATTTTACAGCCATAAAATCAGAAAAATACCAGGCGCCCCAGTTACAATTATGGTCTTAAGAGGGTTAAGAAGGCTCCAAGCAGTATGTTGAACTGTACCATAGCAGCAAGTTATTTTAATTGCCATTATGACCTTAAAAAAACGGCATCCCTTCTTGGGACAGCCACTGTTCTGTTACTATGGTCACCAGTCTAGACTTGTATGTGTGTGAGGGTCAAAGTCTACAACAGGCTGCCACTTTAGTCTGTTAAACTACAAGACTTTAAAACAGAAAACGACGCCTCAGAACAGCTTTGAATATCTCAAGAATTGGAACTGCTATCAATGTTATTCACAGACCTTTTATATCAGACCATGATTTATGGGATTGTGCCTGTCCAACTTCATTTTTTTGAAAATATAAGACCACAGGCACAAAACATACTATTTGATACCATTTTATTCTCATATTTATTTAGAAGAATTTTTTTCTCTAATTGTGAATGCTGGCCAGTCACAATTAGAGACTTCAAAGCAGAGGTTAAGTGTGCTTAGAGCAGCAAGAGGAACGCCAGGCTGTAACTTTTGGCACTGCTCTGTTCCTCAGGGAGTTGCTGATAAAGAGCTAGATTACTCTTTTCTCGTGTTGATGAATATGAATTTGCCACACAGTTCTGAATGGGCCAGCTGATGCTTACTCTGAGATTCTGATGATGATAGGTGCAACGCCACAAAATTAAATTCCTCTAAAATATTTAAGGATTGTTTAGAAGAAAAGCCTAGGTCCTCGGTAAAATTAACGACTTGACATCTCTTAGATGAAATTTTGATGATGTGAGTTATAGAGGCGTATTGTGTCTGCAACCCTCTCTCCGGCAACTTGCGTCTCTGTTTGTAAATCCATTGGACACTCGCTATATTAAACTTTCATGGCTGCTTGGTTTTGAGCTGCTCCTTTCCCCTCACAGTGTATGAATAACTTCAGTGTTGTATGTTTGAGTGTGTACGGGTGCGTTCAAGTGCATGAGACAGGGTGGGCGAGGACGGCCGTGCATACTGGCCTTGTTAGAGGTTGTGTGTGTACATGGAGGTACCAAGTGAGAAGGGAGAGTGCGTGCTATGAATATTTGATGTGCTGTTCAATGTTCATGAGGGAGAAAGATAGAAAAAGGCAGGGACACGGAGAGGTGGAGGGAAGCAGGGATGTAAATCACTCTGCTGCAACACATGGTCACCATCAACACAACAATGCTGTCCTTTAATGTGATTATGGTTTTTATAGATTATGGTCATTCAGGTCCTGCTGTAGGATAACGGGAGGAAATGTTTGTGTTATCAGTGAACAACAAACTTAGCAGGGCTTTATCCTGCTAAATCAGGAATTCAAAGACTTGGGCTGATAAGGATGTAATTAAATAACTGGAAATATATTAAATTAAATATGGCTAAGCATGAACTGCCTGCTGAATCATTCAGTCTCATTACATAATACTGCAGCTCAAAATCTATCTAATGGAGCTAAACTAAATGGTTACGATGCTCATTTGTATGTTTTCAATAGGGGCAAGAATTTAACACATTCGTTTTAATTCAAACATTATGTAGGTTTTAATTGCATTTTTCCTTTTTAAATACTAAAGTCTTGAACAAGAACCTTTGCATTGTGTTTCTGGTGTGCCAGTAAATCTGACACACGAGTGACATCTACACACAAAAGCAATGGACGACCCCCCTGGGGATTCAGTTTTGGTTAATAAAATATATCTGATGGGATGCTGAAAAGACTATTGTTGTGCTTAAGTTGTGCTAAAATGTTTGCTTTTCACGTTTGCTATTCAAGTCTAAAATACTATCTTTTTTAAACTTTATTTTTATAATTTTTAAGGTTTTTTAATACACATACATGCTTGGAACATTCAGATCCCCCTTTAACACAAAACGCAGAGCATTCAATTTGACAGGTGCAGTCATGTAATCAACAAAAAGCATTAATTACATCTATTAACAATTGTTGTCATTCGTTATAGAGGTTTCAGTTTTTTCCAATATTTGTTGTATTTGTGAGTAGCAAGTCTTAATGAGAAAGTCAGTCTCTCCATTGTGTGGATTTCCCCAACTATTTCCCTCCATTCCGAGATCGTTGGCGGTTCCGGGTCCAACCACCTGCGGGTTGTCGCTTTCCTTGCTCCTGCTAACAGTACCAAAAGCAGATATCTATCCAACTTCCCCAGTGTCTCGGGTAGATCACCCAGGAGCACCACAGCAACATCATATCGCAAATTCAGGTCCATTTTAGCATAAGTCTAAAATACCATCTTGATGCTAAACATGTTACAGCAGCATAGATACCCCGAACACTAATGTCAGCATCCACAGTCCTCATTTCTTAAGGATTCCTTAATCCTTGGGTCAGGATTAAGGAATTTTGTAGAGGTGTGTCGATCGATCCGCCACCGATCATAATCGTCCGATTTCCGGGAAAAAGTGTATGATCGGTGATCGCCAATCACGTTCTCTTGTTGCCAATCACACAAACCGATCATCACCTGCATCTCATTTTGCAGCCTGCCTGTGCAGCTGGTCTCCTCTTTCCTTCACTCTGTGCAAACCCGTAGCAACAAATCCTAAGCGATGTGGAACTATAACGCACTGAATGAATGGGGAGGTTTGCTTGTTGCGGCGGAAAATTAAAGCAGGTCAAAATGCATCAACACGATGAATCTAATATGGCATAAAAACAATGTCATACTTGACGGAGTTTGGCTACATCGAGGCTCACTGCAGTAAAAAAGACATACGGAGGATCAGATAGCAGGTAAAGCAGCGCACAGCTACACTCACCCAGATTAGCATGACGGTCAGAAAGCTAAACAAATAACCCACAAAATTATTTAAGTCTTCGAGCTGCGATGTCAGACGCTGGTTCTATTCTTGCTGTGAACCGCTGCTACGCTACAGGTAGTAGCGTAGCAGCTACCTGTAGCTGCTATGCCGTCTAATATTTCACAGACAGAGCTTCGTTTCTGCTCCACCTGGTAGTGACTCTCACACCAAACCTCTGCTAAAAGCTGCAGCATCTAACCTAAAAAAATATTTTTACATACATATTAAAACTTTCGCTGTCCTAACATGAGACAGATAATCTCTGAAAAAATAATCGATCTCCTCCCTGTTCTGCATAATTACTCCGCTCAGTCAGAAACAGCCAATTAGAGCTAACAGTAATCAGGTAGCCGCCATGCTATCAGGAAGTTTTCATTCAGTAACTCTGAATTGTTTATTGTAATGGAACCTGTTTTTGCCTTTGAATCTTAAGTTTTATACTTGACTTTTTTGGCAATGTTGAGAGGTTTTATTTTGACTCTTTGCATTATTTAGTCTCTTCAGAGCCTTCATATGTTATCAGTCTGTTAAAGGTAGTATTATCAATAGCAGTACAATTTGCACAATGCCTGTTTTGTTTAGTTTTCTTCTTGAAAAAAGTTATTAAAAAGAAGTTTTTGTCTAAATTAAGGTGAATTCATGGTTCCTTTNGATGGGACGACTTCCTGGAGGCGGAGCTTCAGGAATAGCAGGAGTTCTTAAAGAGACAGAGGCCCAATTTCAAGGAGTTGAATCAAATGTCTTATAGGTCATATTTAATACACAGCATTTTTATAACAAATTAAGGTAACATAGTTTGGATTGTCTTATAAAAGTATACTGTTTATAAGTGAGTGGGTGAATGTTGTTTTTCCTGGAGGTGACGGGGTGAATGTCTCCTCCAGGTACACCCCGGTGGGGCGCTCCTTCTTCTCTCCTCCAGAGGGATACTACCACCCTCTGGGCGGAGGCCGGGAGGTTTGGTTCGGCTTCCATCAGTCCGTCCGGCCGGCCATGTGGAACATGATGCTCAACATCGACGGTAAGAAGCTAATCCTTCTCCAGAACCCGGATCAGATCTAACAGAACCTCCAGAACCAGACCAATCTCTGATGATGGAGACTCAACGTCTGCTGAGAAACGCAAAGAAAATTTATTTACCCACAATGATGAAGTTGGAAATGTTTTTCTGCTCAACTATGAGACATCTGTGTTTTTGGTTTCTGTGCAGCTAGAACATGTTTAATTTTATTTTTATTTTATTCCTTTCTCCATAAACTTTATACAGAGCCATTCAATAAATTAGAATATTACTGAAAAGCAAATTTATTCATGACCTTTATCACACAGTGAAACGCATCAAACTATTAATTACTATTTAATTAATAGTTTGAAAGCCTTATGGGTAATGGAAACATGACATTTCAAATTAGAATATTACATCCGATCAATTAGAAAACATTTTAAAAACAAGGAATTGCATGTTTAAGACCTGGTTAAAGATTAGAACAGATTTCTAAAAAATTTTCATCTTTAATACTAAATATTTATATTTTGTACAGTTTTGGCTTCATTAATCCTTTCAGCAAATTACCTTCGTTTTAGATTTTATATACTTCAGTTAACGATTGGTCAATCATTCCGGTTATTTCTGTAATGATTAATAGGACCGTGGTTCTGGTCCTGGTTCCGGTCCTCTAATGTCTCCTCTTTGCTCCTCAGTGTCGGCTACGGCTTTCTACCGCGCTCAGCCCGTCATCGAGTTCATGTGCGAAGTGCTGGACATCCAGAACATCAACGAACAGACCAAACCGCTGACGGACTCACAGAGGGTCAAGTTCACCAAGGAGATCAGAGGTACACACACACACACACACACACACACCCCCAGACACACACACACCTTATCAGACCCCCAGACAGAGGTTTGGTTGCCAGAGTGGAGTGACACCAGCAAAGCGCGTTGGTGTTGCCGTGTAGCTGTTAGCGTGTTAGCTGTTAGCTGTTAGCGTATTAGCTCCATGGTCTCTCTCTGCTCTGGCAGGTCTCAAGGTGGAAGTGACGCACTGCGGCCAGATGAAGAGGAAGTACCGTGTGTGCAACGTGACGCGCCGACCCGCCAGTCACCAAACGTAAGCTTCACCTCCTCCTTCTTCGTCCTCCTCCTCTCCCTCCCAGCCGCTCACCGCGGCGCCGCTGTTCCTCTGCAGGTTCCCGTTGCAGCTGGAGAACGGCCAGGCCATGGAGTGCACAGTGGCCCAGTACTTCAAGCAGAAGTACAGCCTGCAGCTCAAGTATCCTCACTTACCCTGCCTGCAAGTCGGGCAGGAGCAGAAGCACACCTACCTTCCTCTGGAGGTGAGAACCCGCCTGCTTCCTCTCCGACTCCTCTTTACGAATCCACAGACAGTATATGGAAAAACATTTTACTTAGCATAAATTCTGCCTCATGCCTTCTAATTTTTGTTCGCAATAAGCCTTTAGGTGGAAAATTTTATCAGGTGACTTTATTATTCTGATTTTAATTTAATATAAATTAAAATCCCTTCTTTGGATAAGAAAATATGTACGGTAATATTTTCATATTAATCCCACTGGAGCCCCCTGGTGGCCCCGCTTTGAGAAACACTGATATAGAATATTCACTGAACTTCAGTCCAGAACCGCACAGCATTCTGGGAGATGTAGGCAGAGGAAAGCTTTAGCTGCTCAACCTCTCATGGCCAGCTAAGCTAGCTGGGGGCCATCAACTAACTCTCTCATTCTTTGGTTGCCTAGCAACAACCTGCTGCGTAAGTTGCGCAGCAACAGTTTCAGGTTTCTCAACCAGCAGTGTGGCAGTATTTCAGATATTTAAAACAAAATGAATCATTAATTATTGATATTGACGCTGATGATGTGATCCATTTGCTGCTGGGTTTTACTTCTTGTCCTCTTGCAGGTCTGCAACATCGTGGCCGGCCAGCGCTGCATCAAGAAACTCACCGACAACCAGACGTCCACCATGATCAAAGCCACGGCGCGCTCCGCCCCCGACCGGCAGGAGGAGATCAGCCGCCTGGTCAGGCCAACCGCAAAAATAATAATGATGTTCTGCAGCTGCTGTGGGCGGGGCTTAACGCTCCTCCTCTTCCTCAGGTCAAAAGCAACAGCATGGTCGGGGGCCCGGACCCCTACCTGAAGGAGTTCGGCATCGTTGTGCACAACGACATGACGGAGGTGACGGGGCGTGTCCTCCCAGCGCCCATGCTGCAGTATGGGGGCCGGGTGAGTACAGACACAGGGCGGGACTGTGGCAGGGTGAGTACTGGGCTGGGGAGCACCGGGTGGGGGGGAGAGCGCCGCGGGGGGGGGTCCAAGGTTTCAGGGCCGAGAGGAGCCAGATCAGATTTAAACTGAACTGAAGAGGCGCCTTGAGTCTGAAACTTGGAGCCTCGCCCGAGTTCCTGTACGGAGGGAACCTCAGCAGCTTCTCTCACCGTCTGGACCAGGGTCGCACCGATACGCCGACCGGCCGATGGGAGATCAGCAACAACAGATACTCGCATGGGAAACCGATCTTGGGTCAGGAAATCCACCACCGATACCAGTCACCCAACTGTTACCAACTTTATAACCATACTTAACAATTTTTTAGACCAAAAATCAGAATCAGCAGGTCAGTCTTTTTAAAGATCGGCCAGAAAACTTGAAATCGGTGCAGCCTTGATCTGGTTTCTGCTGTAATTTTGTTTCATTTACTGTTTAAAATACTGAAAAATGAACTGTTTTTATCTAAAACATGATCTTTAAATGGAAGGAAGTGAAATAAACACTTTTAGGAACTTTTATTCCTGTTATGAAGAATTTTATAAAAGTTTTAACCTCTGTGAGAAAAGATCAGGATCAACGAGGAGAACCCCCTGTTTTCAGGTCATCAGGAGCATCAGCAGCTACATTTCCATCAAAACGTTATGCACATTTTTAACACGTAACAAAAAGGTAACAAAAAACGCAAATTTATCGTGTTTCCATCTTCTGGTTTGAGTCGACCAGGCAACAGAGAGCATGATTTTGTCAGATGTTGACATGACTGTAATAAACAGGAAGTAGAGGATGCTTTGAACCAGAGAGAGTCCTCCCCTCCTGGAGGTTTGGACTTGAGTTTGGCGCCTCTGGTGAGGCACAGATTCAGCTGATGGGAGCGTTTGCTACGTCAAAACTTGTACAGCAAATCTTGAAAATGAGATCTGGCTCTCAGAGTTTTACTGGTTAACTAAAGGAAAACAACTGCTTTCCATCTCCTATCGGGAACACCAAATGCAATACTTCAAAATGTGCATAAAGGTTTATGGAAATACGGTTGTAGTCACGTCAAAGATTGAGTTGTTGTTCAAAACTTTAATGATTCTTCACAGTAGGAAGTTTGTTACCTAATACCCAAAGTTTTGGTGTTAAAATCCAGGTTAGTCGATCCAATGATGCAAATCCAAATGCTCTAAAGAGTTCCTCTCCTAATGACCAAATTCAGGTATCAACCAACAGCAGCGATAAGCTGATGTTTCTGCGTTTAAACCTCTTCAGTCTGTTTGACTGAAGAAAGAAGCTGAAAGTAGAACTTCAGCAGGTTTACTCCCTGGCTACCACAGACGCTGCAGATAGAAACTGGTTCTGCTGATGAAAATCGATGCACCGTAATGCATTTATCTCCATTTTAAGCTACTGATGTCTCCCCCTGGTGGACAGAATATAGGTTCATTCATAACACAAGAAAGATGTGATGAGCTGCTGAGATTCCCTCTCTGAACTTCAAACCAGCTGCTTATAGACCAATCACAGATCAGAATGTTTTCCCATGCACTGATCAACAACCAGTCACAAATGAGAGTTTTGTAGCTGGTTTGGGTTCATTGATTGTGTGAAAGGAGAGTGGATGGATGTGCTTCTAACAGGAAGATAATCCGACTCCCAGCAGGAGGATGATAATCCCACCAGACTGCTGTTTTCCAGATAAATGAAACCAGACGTTTTCTGTGATTCTCACAGAGAAAAAGATTTCAAATTAATAATAATCTGCTGCCCTCCTGATCCGAATGACTTCATGATCCAGACTCCCTGAGTTTCCTGGTTCCGGTCCTGCTGGTATAGAGTCGGGTCATCTTCCAGTGAACTGCTTTAGAATGGAAGCTTTTCCCAACGCAAGTCCTGAATAAATTTAACTCATGTGACCAATTCCAGATGTTGGCTGATTGGAGTACCTTATGACTGGTTGGGACTCTGAAGGGAGAAGCTTCAGTATGTTTCCTGTTGAACATCATCTCCCAAGATGATGATGATGATGATGATTCTCTGTAAAATTTCTGATGCTGTAAAATGACGCAGGAGCTGCTCAGCTTGGTTCTGATCTTGGAGGATGAATAAAGCTCTGAATAAACTGTAAACATTTTGAATTGAAGTTTTGTCCATATTTTCATGATGTCAGACCCTCTGATAAGGAAGCTGGAAAATCTGAGCTCCTCTCCTCCAAGCCACCTGCCTGATGCTGAAACGTCTCCTGCTGAAGTCTGTGTTCAGTTCTGTGGGTTTGTTTCTAGTTGCAGTGTTTGTATCAGCCCATCCAAACGGGGGGTTGACTAAGAGTGTAGGGACTCTCTCCGCAGAATAAGACCGTGGCCACGCCCAACCAGGGGGTGTGGGATATGAGAGGGAAGCAGTTCTACGCCGGCATAGAGATCAAGGTGTGGGCCGTGGCCTGCTTTGCCCCCCAGAAACAATGTCGGGAGGACCTGCTCAAGTGAGTTGCTGCCTCAACGTCCTGTCAGATTTTGATGCTTGCTGTCGGATTTTGATGCTTGCTGTCAGATTTAGAGCAGATTCATTCTAACTCATGACTATGCTGTGATCTTCATATCTATTATATAATCTTTCTGGGTGGATGTTTACAGTGTTTGAACCTTCACCCCAGTTTCAGGACTTCTGCAGCCTCTAACTTTAGTTAGATACAAAGTAGATGTTGTCTACTTTGTGTTTGTCGTTTTACAACAAATCCATCAGAATTGGGGCCTGATTCTGTAAAAGTTTTAGGTCGATGATTCTTTTCCAGAACAAACCTATAACTTTTTGCAGGAGCTTCACCGACCAGCTGAGGAAGATCTCCAAAGATGCTGGGATGCCAATCCAGGGCCAGCCGTGCTTCTGTAAATACGCCCAGGGAGCCGACAGCGTAGAGCCCATGTTCAAACACCTCAAGATGTCCTACGTAGGTCTGCAGCTGATCGTTGTCATCCTGCCTGGAAAAACGCCCGTCTATGGTAGGAGCGCCATTCTTTCCTGCTGAAGACGTGTGGTAACGCGGTGCGGGGTTTTAACAGTGATGTGGTTTGCAGCTGAGGTGAAGCGGGTGGGAGACACGCTGCTGGGCATGGCCACGCAGTGCGTCCAGGTGAAGAACGTGGTGAAGACGTCGCCCCAGACTCTGTCCAACCTCTGCCTGAAGATCAACGCCAAACTGGGAGGCATCAACAACGTCCTGGTTCCTCATCAGAGGTCAGTGAATCGTCCTCAGGCTATGGCGCAGTATTGGTGCCAAAATTAGGACTGTCGCGCACGCAGTGGTAGCTACTTCCTTGTAGCAGGAGGCTATATCTAATGGGAGATGTTAAGGAGAGTTCTAGCTGGCGTTAGCATTGGAGAGGTTGGTTACTGGCATGCCTCAGGAGTTTCCCCCATTGGATTGCCTACTTCCTCTGCAGGCCATTAGCATGGATAGACTGGCATTATCTTTTGATGGGCTAACAACTAGTATGCCTACTCCGATCACCCACGACTCGTACTTTCTTCTTTAAAGGGAATTATATCAAGAAAACTGTTTGACATACAATACCTGAGTGCCTTAAATTACATGCATTGATGTCTTCTTTTAATAGTTTACTGTAATCTTCAGCTCTGAATTATACAGGAAGTTTATGCTTGGTGTCGCATTAGATTACAGTAAACTGTCAAAAGAATCCATGTCAGTGCATCTAATGCATGGCGCTTACAGATATTGTGTGTCAACCAGTTTTCTTTATAAATTTGCCAGCTCTTCTCCTTGTTTATAAATTTGCTCTTATTTGCCAGCGCTGGCCGCTCTGTTGCCTCCAACGGTTGCTCTGTTAGCATTGCCGGCCTGCCAACAATCAGATTAGTAGCTGGCTTTGGAATGAATGTAGCCTTGTGATACAAGGAAGTAGCCACTGCTAAGGGCGCAATAGTCTTAATTTTGGGGCTAATACCGCGCCATATCAGAGAAACTGGAGGGATGATGACTTCAGCTGATCTGTCCTTCATGCTGCTCCTCGTCCAGGCCCTCCGTGTTCCAGCAGCCCGTCATCTTCCTTGGCGCAGACGTCACTCATCCTCCAGCGGGCGATGGGAAGAAGCCGTCCATTGCAGCGGTGGTGGGAAGCATGGATGGTCACCCCAGCCGATACTGTGCAACGGTTCGAGTCCAGACGTCCCGACAGGACATGTCCCAGGTAGTTCAAACCCTGTCCAGTCCCAGAATCCCTGTCTGGGTCGTTGCTGAGAGCCAAGCTTCCTCTGCAGGAGCAACTCTTCAGTCAGGAAGTGATCCAAGATCTGACCAACATGGTGCGGGAGCTGCTCATCCAATTCTACAAGTCAACCCGCTTCAAGCCCACACGGATCATTTACTACCGCGGTGGCGTGTCTGAGGGCCAGATGAAGCAGGTGGGGGCGGAGTCTGTTCCAAAGAGCCTGGCGACTCGTGTGGCAGGAAGTGATTCGGCTGGTTTGTGTTCCAGGTGGCGTGGCCGGAGCTGATTGCCATTAGGAAGGCGTGCATCAGTCTGGAGGAGGACTACAGGCCCGGAATCACCTACATCGTGGTCCAGAAGCGCCACCACACCCGCCTGTTCTGCTCTGACAAAGCCGAGCGGGTCGGTGGGACTCTGTCTTCTGTCCCCGTCTGTCCTCCGGTCTGTCTTAGTCTCAATGCGGTGTGATTGGTCCACAGGTTGGGAAGAGTGGGAATGTTCCGGCTGGGACCACGGTGGACAGCACCATCACACACCCGTCTGAGTTCGACTTCTACCTGTGCAGCCACGCTGGAATTCAGGTGGGACCTCAGACTTCCTCACATGGATGACGAGATGAGGTGCAGGTGTTTGACCTCCCTTCACCCCCCAGGGAACCAGCCGTCCCTCCCACTACCACGTCCTGTGGGATGACAACTGCTTCACAGCCGATGAACTGCAGCTCCTCACCTACCAGCTGTGCCACACCTACGTCCGCTGCACGCGCTCCGTCTCCATCCCGGCCCCGGCCTACTACGCCCGGCTGGTGGCCTTCCGCGCTCGCTACCACCTGGTGGACAAAGACCACGACAGGTGAGGCGGGCCTGGTACCTGAGGTTCTACTGAGCATCATCCTCAGAGGATTGCTTTCAAAATAAAAGCTGAATATTAGGAATGCGACTAACCACAAGAGCAGTGGTTTTCACTCTAAGACGTTGGCTGCACTAACCCTAAAATCTAATCATACACATTATATCTGTAGATGCTAAAGCATTACAACAACACAGTATTTAATAGAAGCTAATGCTAAAGCCCTATGCTAACATGGTATTTAATAGAAGCTAATGCTAAAGCCCTATCCTAACATGGTATTTAATAGAAGCTAATGCTAAAGCACATGCTAACATGAAAGCTAATGCTAATGTGCTCCACCAACAATAATTTGTGGAAGCTTATGCTAAAATAAATGCGTGATTTTGAATTTATCTGGAAAAAAAAACACGAAATGACAAATCCATGAAAGTTTGTTTGAAATGGGACTGTGGAAAAGTTTAAGGGGTGTTAATAGTTTTGCTGATCTTTCAGAAGGAGCAGCTGTGCTGATGACCTCACTTCCTGTGTATTTCCTGCTGACCTGAGCTCTTCTTGTCGTTGCAGCGCTGAGGGTAGCCACGTGTCGGGTCAGAGTAACGGTCGGGACCCGCAGGCGCTGGCCAAGGCCGTCCAGATCCACTACGACACCCAGCACACCATGTACTTCGCCTGAGCTGAGCGTCTTCCTGTGGATCTTCTCCTCTTCCTCGTCTCTCTGTCCTCGTCTTTCTTCATCACTCTGTTTTTATTTTCTGACTCTGCACCAAAGCGGCTCGGCTGCCGGTCAAACGCAGCTCCGCGGGGCGCTTTCTGACCGGCGTTTTCCCGCCCGGGCCGCCGTTTCTCAACCAGCAACCTAGCACTGCGGGCCCCCAGGGGCCCCGCTGCACAACCGAAAAAACAAAAACAAACCCCACACACACAAACGACCAGTCGAGCCATTGTTTTGAGTTTGTTTTTGTTTTTTCTTCTATGAATGTCTGCACTTGTGGCGTGTTTGTAAGAAACTCGGAGCCGCGGAGCGCCGCCTGGGCGCGTCCTCGGCTCTCCCAGCTAAGCAGGACTCTGATCTACTTTACCTCAAAGCCCCTCGGGGCCAAATCTGTCACAAGGTCTGGGGTTCGTCGGGTGGTGGGAGGGAGGCGCAGGGGCTCGACCTTTTAAGAATGAAATATTATATATTATATTTTTCCTTTTTATGAGTGTGTGTTGAAACTTTTTCTCCTTTTCGGTCTTTTACAAGCGAGGTGACCTGTGTGTCCATGCTTCCCCTCATCTGTGTGTGTGTGTGTGTGTGTGTGTGTGTTGGTGCTGTATGAGTGTGTGTTTGATGGCAGGCCACTGAACTGTAAAGGGAAACTAGGAGAGAACTGCTGTAAATGCCTCAGATGACTCGTTTTTATATTCACACATACAGGACATATAAGCATATATTTACACCTGCAGAGCAGCGCCTCCTGGAGGCAGCGGAGGGAATCTGTGGGGGTGTAGCAGGGGGGTGGGAGCTGAAGGTGGCGCTGCCGGCTGGGTTTGTTGGCGGCTTCCTCATTGCACTGACCCGAGGCCGCTCTATCAGTCTCTTTATGCATTTCTACATCCAACGAAGCAGATTTGTAAAGTTTAATATAAAGCGTTTGGTGGTTGTTGTTTAGAGCTCGTAGTTTACCCTCGATGTCGTCGTCGTCGTTGTTTATTGTTGTCGATGTTACTGTTGTGATGAACCTTTACGGTGGACGGCCGGCGGCGGGTTTAATCTTTATTTGTAGCATTCTGGTTCACGCTGAGGAGGAGGAGGGTGGATTCATGCTTCCTCCCATGTGATTGGTTCAGTGTAGCAGCTTCCGATCGGATCGATGGAGACAATCAGGAGGGATCTGAAACGATTTCACCAGAGCAAACTCACCGCAAAGTCTGGGCGGTGTTGGCTTTGCGTTTTTATTTTTAAACACTGGACTAAACGAGCACTGCGTTGATGACAGTGGAGCCCCCTGGTGGTGTGAGGCAGGAGTGGCCGGCGTGCACGCCTCATTCAGGTGGGGGCGCTCAGTGGAAACCCTTTTGTAATAAACCGCCCGTAAAGCTGCAGGTTTACTATGAATGAGTTTGAGCACCTTCCTGTTGGCGGCGTGCACACTGGCGCGGTGGGGTGCGGCGGCGGGGGGCGGGGCTTATGATCACTCCGAGAGCAATATGAACCTCGATCAAAAGAAGCGATAATGAATCTCCTCTTCTGTAACTGATTATTATTTTCTGAAGCTTGGTTTGTTTTCTTTGCTCGTGTCAATCAGTGGGGTCGTGCATTCAGTGGCGTCAGCAGGCGATTGCCGGCTTCCGCGCGTTTAGTATTGGCGTTTGCGTTCGGCCGGCAACGTTGACGCCTGTTCGTTGGCGTCAGCCTGCGTTTGGTGGCGTTGACGTCGTCGTAGTTTAGACCGTTTCCTTTAACTCGTTGTAGATTTGCTCGCCTGCATGCTGGAGTTTCGTCCTTTTAAAAACTATTAAAACCTTTTTCAATCATATTTATTATAAGAAAAGATCTAAAGTTTGGGGTAAATGTTTTTAGCCTAGCAATATTGTCCCGTCTCGCTGTTCCTGAGGCTCCTCTGTGGATCACGGGGCGGCGGAGGGCGCCGGCTCTTTGCGTCGTGTTCAGATCCAAACGAGGTACTTTGATCAAACGTGGACCCGTTAAAGAGCCGGCCCGCTCCTCCGGCCGGGTCAGCCGGGGAACGGGGACCTCCTGTTGCCATGGCGACTCTAACTCCCTCCTCTTAGCGGTCCAGAGGCGCCGGCACAGCGCCAGGTCCGGTTTTTAACCTTTTTAAAGAGGCTTCCTGGTTCTGTGGCCCGTTTTAACAGGAGAGCATGAATTATTTTCAATTCCTCTCACTTTGATATCTGTTTATATCTCGATGGATTTGTAATTTTCTGTATTGTGCATTTCATTTTGTTTTTACCTCTTTGGTTCCTGTTGGGGGTTGTTAAACTTCTGAGTGAAAGGTTCTGTTGGACTGTTCTGTTTGGACCGTAGAGCAGAAGGCCATTCACTTGTTATAATTATTATTATTAATATTATGTGACATGTTAATTTTTTTAGCCTGCAGGGAAAATCTTGTGTTCATGTGCAAAGTAATAAATTGGTATTTTAAGCCCATAAAGTTGCTGTGTACTTATTTCACCTGATGTAATTTCAGCCACCAGATGGCGCTGCTTCTCTTTTACTGCTTCTCAGGTTCGGATGTTAAACATGTTTCTAGATTTATTTCTAGATTTATTATTTTCTAACTAAAAAAGTTAAATGTTTATACAATTTTAATTATAATAAAAGAATAGTTATATTTTGGGGTCAATCAAAAAGGAAAGTCATTTTCTTCTTCAACTCTCCAGCTCCCCCTGGCGGATCTTCAGGTGTTTCTGGGTCAGTTCCGGTTCCGGTTCTCCTCGGCATGTCCGGCTCACGCAGGATCAGCAGGAAATGGAACCCAACCTCGGGTCCAGATCGGTTTTAATGCAGATCGGTCCCAGAAGTTTTATTTATTCTGTTAATAATTTGCCCAGAACTATTTTCAGTTACTAACCTGTTTGAGAAAATGTACGTTTATCTAATTTTAGTCTTTTTACCTGATGATAAAATGATTCAGGCCCGGTGTTAAGAGGTTTACTTTGCCTATGGAAGTCCCTTCCTGCCATAAAAAAATAATAAAGGCCCACCAGGAAACCACAATTGTGAGTTTTAAAGTCATAATTACAAGAATAAATTAACTTTGTCATAATTTTGAGATTAAAAATGAATTATGATCATCACTGTTTCTCTAAAGAGACTTGTATCTTATGATCTGAATTCCTTAATTTGTGTCAAAATAACTTTGAAAGTTGAAATTGACTGATTCTCAATTATGAATGACTTTAATTCTCAAAATGATGAATTTTTATCCAAAAATGACTTGAAATCAAAACTGACTTTGAATATCCAAACTGACTTCAAAAGTCAAAATTAACTATTTTGAATAATTTGAAAGTTAAAATTATGACTTCCTGTTGGGCTTTTACTTCGTCTTTAATGGCAGAAATGGATTTCCATATGTTCTCTGTTTATTTCCGGTATGTTGATTTCCTATAAGTATCTTTGTTGTTTTTAGAAATCATGGAGCTTTTTCTCTGCAGCTGCTGACGACCACAGAGTGGCGCTGTCGAGCCGCAGAGCGCTTCCTCCTGACTCCTCCTCCTCCTTTAAAGGAGCCGCCGTCACGAGTCTCCGCGTCCCTCCACGGCCGCGCGTGACCCTCCAGTTGCGCAGGTCACGTCCAGATGTTGCGTGTCGCTCTGAACCAATCAGCTGCGGCCGGGGGGGCGGGTCAGAGCGGGGGCTGAGGATGAGGATGGAGCACGGCCCACGCGCGCAGGGACTCTCATCCTAGAGGAGGAAGAGGAGGCGCGCTCCTGTGCACGCGGATCAGACCTGTCTGCGCTGATCGGTTCGGTTCCGGTTCGGATTCGCTGCTTCCTATCCGCAGCAACAACATAGTGCGCGCGCCCAGCAGCGCACCTTTGTCAGCAGGTGATGGAGGCGGCGCGCGCGGCCACGGAGCCTGAACGGAGACGGTGAGGAGAGGTGGACCGGACCGAACCGGGTCGGACGGACCTGAAGATCCGGGCCCGGTTTGTCAAGCAGTTTTAATTCCGCTGGTTCTGGACAGCAGAACCTCCTCGGAACCCCCGGTTCTGAAAGGAAAACCGGCTCATCTCAGGACAGTTCGGACCGGGACCAGGCACGGGTAAGACTTCCTCTGTCGGGTTAAATGCTGCGGTTCTGTTGAGGTCCGGTCCAATGTAGTGTCAGATCTGAGAGGTTCTAGTTTGCTGTGGTTCCGTCCATCTCACCTGAGGTTATGAGGTTCTGACCCAGCGCGAGGTGGGCCGCAGTGCATGCTGGTCCTCAGCAGGTTTCTGGTCTGACGGGTCCAGACCGACCGGAACAGAATTTATCAGGACTTATCAAGGGAAGCTTAGAGGTGGGAGGTTCTGGTTCTGGAGGTTCTGCTCACCGTGGACTGAAGTCGCCATCAGGTCCAGAAACCCAGGTGGTTCTGGATCTTCTGAAACAAAATGAAACCGGTCATTCAGCCCAGAAACACTTGGTTCTGTTCCTTCAGAACCGGGTCTTTAAGATGAACTGAACCTGACCAGGTCCAGTAAGGTTCTGGCTGTTGGTGCCTTTAATGACCAGGAGGAAAAACTGATTTTTTGGGATAGAGCTGCGGATCCGAACCGGTTCTGATGAACTGGATCTCTTCCTGATGTTCCAGGTCCTCAGGAGGTTCTGGTTCTGGACATCTGATCCGGGTCTGAAGCGCTGGTTCCGGATGAAAATAAAAATGTTTAATCAGAACCTCTGATGTCTGAATCTCAGGTGTTTGGACTGGAACCGGGCCCGTTCAGAACTGGTCCAGTTGGATGTATCCTAAAACCAATCCAGAACCAGTTGGATCCGTGTTGGACCCGACTCTGGTTTTTCACCTTCACACAGCCCCCAGCATAATGCTGCCACCACCGGACCGGACCGGACTGGACCAGACTCCATCTGGAAAGTTCTCACTGATCTAAAATAATGGAGCTCGGCCCATTTACAGCGGGATGGAAAACATTCAGAACCGGTCCAAACAGACCCGGTCCAACCAGACCCGGTCCAAACAGAACCGGTCCAAACAGACCCGGTCCAAACAGAACCGGTCCAAACAGAACCGGCCCAAACAGACCCGGTCCAAACAGACCCGGTCCAACCAGACCCGGTCCAAACAGAACCGGCCCAAACAGAACCGGTCCAAACAGACCCGGTCCAACCAGACCCGGTCCAAACAGACCCGGTCCAAACAGAACCGGCCCAAACAGACCCGGTCCAACCAGACCCGGTCCAAACAGACCCGGTCCA